GAGCAAGCGTTCTACCAACTGAGCTACCGTGAACGGTCACTAGGATTAAGAAGAACGTGAAAACGAAGGAGTTTTGTGTTTCAGATATTCGATATCTAGGCTCATTAAAAAAAGTGATCGTTAAATAAATGTATATTTGTAGGAAATGTAGTCTTTAACTTCAAAATTAGTGGAATACAAGGCTGAACCCTTTTGTAATTAAGAATAAAACGTGGAGGTTTGAATAAAAGATTGTATTTGCAATTGCTTGTTTGTCAACAGTTTACCAAGTTTTAAAAATTGTTCATACGTAGAGCATGAATTTGAGTATCTAATCAACTGAGAATATAAACCCCGTATGCAGTGGAAAAGGATAAATTGTAACATTGAAAAGTTTAAGTAATCACCCTTCTCATAAAGTTTATTTACAAAGTTACCATCAAAATCTTAATTAAGTGAAAAACAATCCATATAAGAAACAGGTGTCAGACTCTGTGGTATCCTATTTTTAAGCTCACCTGGTTTCAGCATGTCAACGCAAGGATGAAATAAATTAATATCAATTGATAATATGCCGTCATTGTAATGTTGAAGACCTCAGCAAGAGTTTCTTTTCTCCATTGAATAAGATTTTGAATAAATAATGCTTCATATGGATAAAGTTCATGTAAAAAGTTAGGCATACACTGGCCACTTTTTTCTTTAGAGAAAAAAAAATTGTTTGATTGTTTGTTTGTTTAACGTTCCTTTAAGATTTATTTACCCTTACGCCATCACTTGCCGGCGAGAAAATTGCACAGCCCACAAACAACTTTATTGTTATGTAAGAGTTATTTGCATAAGTACGTTGCTGTTAAGAAAATCAATTTTTAATGCATATTCTTGTCTGCTGCCGGCCGTTAATTTGGAAGGTTAATCAGGGTTCTTATGCTCTAAAAGAAACAATTAACAATTGATTTGCATAGGAGATGCAATAAGTCGATTTATGGTGGGGACAATACTGCATGGAATTAAGTCTGAAAGCTTTAGGGAAAGGAGGGGATAGAGTTAAACATTTTACTTGGCAAAGTAATTGAGTGCGTAAAAAGCCGTTCTTTCCTATGATACGGTTTGTATCAATATCTTATTTTTAATGTTTACTTTGTCTTAAAAAATATTACATTGTTTTTCATTTATGATTTTTGTTATTCTAATTGTCTAATCTTTTAAACAAATTCAATAACAGGCAAACCCGGCCGGCATCTTTTGAATAATGGATGGAGCCGAGAAAAAAAAAAAAGCTTTAAGAAATCCGAGGATGTGCATGGATACGCATTATCGCAGTGTTCGAGGGGTGTTTTCCGAACATTCACTTGCTGTAAATAGCTATTGAATTATCACACTCATCTGAGAGGCCCTTTAAGGTTTTAAGATAAGGTGAATCTGTTTGAAGTAGATTTATCAAAATTGCCAAACACCTAAACTAAGATATAAAAAGTGTATTATTTACGGCAGGATATTTTAATTTAAAGTTTGAAGCACATTTATACTTGATATTTTGATACATTTCTGTAGAAACTTTTGTAATTTGTAATAAATGTAGGATGTGGAGATAACGAACAATATTCAATATCAAAGTCCATAAAACTATACAAAATAAGAGCAGAGCAAACACGGACCTTCAAAACATCAGAGGTGGGTCAGGTGCCATGGAGAAGTGAGCATCTCCTGCTGAGTGGTCACACCGCCGTGTGCTCCTTGTCAGGAATAAGGAAATAACGGGAAAATCCTTCGTCAATTCAGTGTATAAATAATGGATTAACAATTAGTATGAAAAACGGCAGTCAGCATTTGACTCAGTAATAAATTGTATTTGCTGTCAAGGTCATTTTATCGACCATAGAACTTACGAAATGATGACTTTAAACGAGACTGCTGATATTCTTGTTTAATCAACTTGCTTGTCAATAATTTACCTCGTTTTAGAAATTGTTCGTAGGTAGAGCATGCTCTTGCGTATCGAATCAACTGAGATATATACAGGTGATGAAGGTATTTGCTGCATAAGTAAGGGAAGTTGACGATAGAAAAGTTTAAGTCGTCACGTCTATATCATATATAGCTTGGTTGTTAGATTACCATAATAATACAATAAGGAATAATTTAATTCTGTTTGTATTCTTGTCTCTCATTGGTTGATTTCCAAAAAGGAACGCATAACATTTTGTATAATCTGGTTTGGTATGGGGACACACCCCCTTGACAACCAGCTGAATCATCTGTATCCATCAATCCCCTCATTTCCAGTCCTTCGGATTCATGAAAAATTCCAGATTTAATGAATGTACCTTTAACTTCAAACAGTTGTTCGATCTTACCTCATGTAAACAAGCATCATGGCTGCTAGATCTATGTATCAGTTTTTACCTCCCCTTGCTTCCAATCACTTCCGTTACTACGGTTGTATTATTGCGCGGTAAATTTGAACTAATAAAAACAACACAATTTTACATCCCCAGTTGTCTAATTATTTTAAAATTAAATTATAAGGGATGACTCTAATTCTTCGCGGATTATAAAGCGTAAACTGACCCAAACCATATTATACTCGATAATCTGGCCAAGAATTAGAGTCATTCCTTAAATAATTTCGCTTTTAGGTCACAAGTAACGTAATTAATAAACCTTACCGATTTTTTTTTTTTGGAAAAATGTTTATGCCCCCGTATTCGAAGATTCATACAGTTTGTGTTCTAGATCTGACCGTTTGTTTTGTATTTCATGTGTGTGTTTTTCTAGTTTTGTTTCACATTTCTTTGGGTATCAAAAATTTCGTCCCTTCAGCCTTGTGTTTTCCAATCGAAGAATGAGAGAATTTATCTTTCGCCATAATCTGCCAAACTAGGGCATCAGGTTCCGTACCATGGGTTTGACTACGAATAACAAAGGTTTTAAAAAGATATAATACGATATATATAGGATCTCCCATGGTTTGTGGTTTGATATGATTTTTATCCAACGAGTTGTGTGTTTTCTATCCCCGAGCCTTGGCAATGGGATAGAAAACACACAACGAGTTGGATAAAAATCATATCAAATCACAAACCATGGGAATTCTTTTTATCACATATTTTTGTTCACTATAAATGTGTATTTTGTCGTTATTTCTAATTCAATGTTCCTTTTCGGTTACCTCGGACCAAATAACGTAATAAATAAAATTACGCTGTATGAAATAGTTCGTACAAATATAAAAGAAAGAAAATATTTCAGCGCTTATTTTTTTTAATTCATGAATGAAATCTTGTTAAAATACATCAAATAAAGTGAAATTTGACAAATTAAGTCATTCTCTCCATCACACATATGTATTTGTTTATTTACATCACGTCACGCGGCGTAGGAATACATAGTGTTGATACGAAAACGATATCACATGAGCTATATCAACGGGATAAAGGGGAAAATATGTGATAAAAAAACATATTATAATATGAGCTGCATCTTTGAAAATTTTATTTTGCTGTTAGAATGTGTTATTACGTACAATAAATTTGTATTAAACCTTTATGATCAATTAGACTAAAATAAAGCAGAAAGAAAGACATACATATAAAATACATGGTTACTGTCTTGAAATATAAGCTATAGGGTAAGAAAACGTGATAGAGGGCGAGGTTTGCCGAGCCCTCTTATGTTTTCGACCCGAGCCCAAATATCGCTTATATTTCAAGACAGTTATCATGTATTTTGTTTATCCTGCAACAGAATTTTACATTTGAGCGTCCAAAACAAGCTAATTCCGATAGATTTAGGCACGTCTCCGCAGTTGAAACTATGACGCCATGGCGTAAACATTGCAGTATACGTGACGTCACAATGCTTTTAGAACGTCGGAATGCATGCACAAGGCTTTATTAGGGCAGTGACCGGATAAAGCTTTGGTTTATTAGGTTACCTTTATTAGGTCAATGCAAGGGGTAGTTGCAGGATAAAATTATTTATATGTAGCGTTATGGTTTTATATATTTGTCTTTGACCATAACGCTACAGATCCCGTAATGCAAAAAAGGTGCAATTTACGGCGCATATTTTTGCACACTTTGGGGAAGAATTTCTCCACTTTCCAGCATCGGTTAATTAACTACACTTTACTCCCTAATTCTAGGCACATTATTTAACTTATCTGTATGTTATCCATCTCCCAACCCTTTATATTTATAGTCGTCACTACAAGTATAATCTCGCTTGATTAAAATTATTTTTTAGATTGCTGAAAATTCACTTCAAGCGAGTTTATTGCCTGTAGAGACAACTATTACTGGTTGGAAGGTGGATAAAATATACATATTGGCTACAGAATGTGTCCAGAATTAGGAAGTGAAAGGTATTTGATTGACCAATGCTAAAAAGTGGAGAAATTCTCCCTAAAAGTGCTCAAAAAATTTTGCACCGTAAATTGCACCTTTTTGTATTACGGGATCTGTAGGGTTATGGTCAAAGACAAACATATAAAACCGTAACGCTTAGATCTGCATGATTCAGTGTAAAAATCATGAAAATTGAGCTATAATTGACTCCACAAAGTTTTTATAAAAATTGGTTTTTCAATGAAATATATAGCGTAAAAATGCAATTATGACTCACTTATGGCCACATACTGTGAGTCATACAAAAGAATAGTTAAGAAAGTAAGTTGAAAACTTGAATGTGTAATACACATCATTGAAAGTAATATGAATTGGTACGAAATAATTTAAGAACGACTTAATGTTAGAGCAACGAAAAAGGGGAGTTAATCTAATATTTGTTTACCTTTGGTGTTGTGGTCGGTTGGAAGAAGATCAAGATATTCATATTGCATAGTTCTGATGATTTTCCCCGCGTCCTGATGACTACAAAGAACATACAGCAATGACTTAAGGAGGTATCCTTCTTTTTATCATGTGATTATATGATAAAATTAAACACACTAACGTTATCTGAGTATCTCGAATTTCCTCATATATTTTTCGGCATGGTTTGCAGGCGACACCCTATATTTTTCAGGTATATCTGAATTACCTCACTTCTCCTTGTGTTTTATATGGTACTTCTGAGCGAAGTAAGATATAAAACAGATAATCGGTCTGGCTGCTGATTGTTGAAGCAGGATGTTGACCACGCCACTACAGAGACGACAGGCCGTCATATTTATCCTGGGATGGCTCGCTTACGCCTCCACGTATTTGCTGCGAAAACCTCTAGGTGTTGTAAGTGTTTCTAGAGAGTGAATTTTATATTCACCCAAAATACTCATGAAGTTATTCATTTAAAACTAAAATGTCTTTATTTTCAATCAGATACTGTAAAAAGAGAAAATATGACACAATTCTATTTTAATAAGTTTAAACGCTTTCGCGCAAGTGCTTCTGAATGCTAAAGTTTATTGTGTGATAACAGAATTCTACATATTAAACTTTTTGTGTTCAAAGCAATCATTTAAGTGCATGTAACATGTGTAAATCAGAAACCACGATTATGTACGACTACAAGTCATGTTCCATGTTGTAGGGTCACTGTACTCACACTGGTAAACAGTAGGATTGATCGAAAAAATACTGCCAAATTATGAATTAATTTAACTACTTATCATTAACACCTTAATAATTGGTCTTCTGACCATGTCAATCATCAATCGCAGTAAAATGTAAACAAAGGTAATGAAAATCGTGACGATAACCAGCATTGCCATGAACAATATGTGTTGCCATTCCACGCTGATAGTACCGTGACAATAAAGCAATCAGATGTAATGACTAAATGAATGCAAAGAATATACCCTGGTGTAGATAATGATATCGGGAATGATGTATACCTATAAATATTTACATTTGCTGTGTTTTTCTAGTAAGCCAACAGTGAAATTGATTTGAATACCATTTTCGTGTATACTCACGCATAGAACTATACAGGAGAAACGTGCATTTGCGTGACGTCCCAATAAGGGTACAGCGACGTTAGTAAAAGTATAAAGATATAGGGCAGAGAGAAATTCAAATATTGAGTATATTTTTCGTGCTTCCAAACATGTAAAATGTAAAATAAGGCATGTTTTTAAGTTTAGTGTGAATTATTGGTGTGTGAATCACACAGACTTGCACGTAGGCATATTTTTCATGAAGCGCTAGCGCGCTTCATGAAATATGCCTACGTGACAAGTCTGTGTGATTCACACACCAATAACTCACACCAATAACTCACACAAAACTTAAAAACATTCCCTAAGTATTTACGAGTTGTGTCCAGCTTTAATAACGGAATTCAAGTCTCGATCCCTAGTACAGCCTAGTGAACCATATAAGCAAAACATTCTATTCATATAGCAGTTTTTATGCTGTAAAGTGTAAACGGTTATATTTTAATTGTCATGCATTTTCAACTGTTTCAGTATGTAATGTTACCCAGAGGACATGGTTTATACATATAATGGGTTAAAAGTACTTATTATAACGAATGTTTTTAAACTTATGAAATTTGACATTTTATCATGAAAGCATAAAATAATACAATAGCTAGCGGAACAAAGTGCCACTCATCACTGCAAGCTCTTAGAGCAATGCCTTGGCAAGGTGAAAACTCTTGAAACAGACAGTACATGTAATTCTAAATGTTTTTATTAAATAATCCTTTCTTTCATGATTCACAGTTTGAGGAATTTTCCTTCATTTAAGGTGAAGACAGACTTAGAAGAGTCACTTTCTATTGGTAAAACACAGCTAGGGTGGCTAGATACGGCTCTGTTACTACCTTATGCTCTAATGCAGGTAAGTGTTAAAGTCTATATAGTAAGACTAAATAGAAACAGATAACAGTATACAATATTGACTTTGATGAGATCTTTTAGTGACTATATGGACATGGTCTGGAATTGGTTGACTGAGGCTCAAGGAAGTCAGGAGCAGGCAAAATTCAAAAGTCAATAACAATTTTATTAAATAATCAGGGATTGAGCAACATTTTTTAGACTTTTGTTCTTTTTAAAAGCATTTTGAATATTATGTGGTGTGTAACAATATTTTATAATATATTCCAACACTTGAAGTACTCAGTGTTTAAAAGTGGAAAATAATGGTATAAAGTGGCAAGGCATAAATACTCATCCATTTATTTATAAGGACAATTATCTTGGCTACATTATCTCCCTTGTTTACAGATGTTGTTGGGGCCGTTAGGAGACAGATATATATTTCTGATTACTGTTCTTGTTTATTATATTATACGTTTTATCCCTTGTTTACAGATGTTGTTGGGGCCGTTAGGAGACAGGTTTGGACCCAGGAGAACTTTTGGAGTCTGTTTGCTGATGTCTGCCTTATCCATGGTAAAATAAACACAATGTCATATTGTCATTATAAAAATAGAACAATCTCTTTATTGATTCAAACGAGGAAATTAGGTTATAAGACAGTAATGATCATATGAAAAATCAATTTAATGAAATGTGTAGGGAGATGGAATGATTTAAATTATATTTCTTTCTCTGTTGTAATTTTAAATTTTAAATGCATTACCTTTGAAGTATGCATTTAAAAAAGATTAATACATAACTTCAGTGATTGAAATTCAATAAATATCATGGAATTATTTAAAATTAACAAAAGAGGTTTTTACCAGATTTGATGGATTTTTAAATTTAATTCAAGATTTTACTGATGGTTTCTATTGCATACATGTGATATGTACTGACGGTACACAAAATGTCGTGTATTTTTGACCCAATTCACGGGCTCATGGCGGTACACCAAAATTCACGGGAAACGAAAATGTGTACCGTTTTTTGAAATGTTTACTGGAAACCGCCTTTCATTCCCGCTTTCATTCCCGCTTGCGCAACACTGGAAATCTCGAACTATGCGTGACTTACTGGTGATTAAGGTAAACACAGGGGCTGACAAATAGATTTTTCAAGCACTTGCCCACGGGCAAGTGCATAGTCAAATTTCACTTGCCCTACTTCAATTTTTACTTGCCCCACCAGCACTTTATATTCATCATAATGAATTAATTTGTCTCTTAATCGAAAAAAAATTTAGCCTAGAATTATTATTTTGAATATTGGCGACATTTAAAACCACCTGCCATTAAGTACTATGTACCATACAATCTGTTGATTGATAATTGTATGCTGTTTTATGTCCCGTTCCAGAATAATATTTTCTTTCATACAGAGACGTAAAATTTCTATCATATAGTCATAATATCTGCTATTTGTTTAAAATAATCATTTCGGACATTTATTTTTTTCTTTTCTCATACCTGATATGCTTAGATGATTTTGTACTGAGTTTTTCACTAACATTAATTGTTATGGAAGATGTACTTATCATCGGCTTTCGATCGTTTTCTGCCTCATATAACTGTCAAAACTTTCGGTAAAACTTAATTGTAATGAATTGCATAATGATGACACAATTAAACTGGTTTGCATACAAAGTGTGACAAACAAAGGAAGATAACTCTTATAGCAAAATAATTTTAATTTCGTGGAAAACTATGACATTTTAAAAAATATTTATTGATTGATTTTTTTTAAGTCACTTGCCCACGGGCAAGTGCCTATTTAAAATTCACTTGCCCGCCTCTAAAATTCACTAGCCCCGGGCGTCGGGCAATGGGATTTGTCAGAGCCTGGTAAACATAAAAAAAATCATGAATGAAGGTGTGAAATATTCCCGTGATAATTACATTGTAATTAAGAGATATCAAAGTGTTTTGTTTGGATGATTGCTTTTTGATAGGACCCTTATTAAGGATTCTTAAAACTGTAATTTGTTAAAAATAAAGACATTTCAAAGAGAAAACGCCTGCATTCACAAGAATCGAGAACACTTTGTGATAGCAAAACAAAATTTATTCCATTATTTGCTTAAGCATAAGTATTGTTTATTTAAATTCAGATTTTAAGAGAAATGATTTTTTAGTACAATTTAAAAAATGCAGTGGAATGGAGACGACCAGACTCGATTTAATTAAACTGTTTTAATAAATACTGTACTTTTTACTAAGTTCAGCATTTAAGCCTTGCATAGTTTATTGCAGAGATTCAAAATTCTTCAAGAGTTTCTTGAAATGAATAAAAAATCATAATACATCTTATGCAGTGTTGCATCTGTACATTGATTTGAAATTTATTATTAAAAAATGAACGCCTTACATTAATTTTTTGGTCGATATTTTGTACAGTTTTATGTACAGTTTTTAGCTCACCTGAGCCAAAGGCTCAAGTGAGCTTTTCTGATCACATTTTGTCCGTCATCCGTCTAGCTGTCCGTCTGTCCGTCCGTCCGTTTGTAAACTTTTCACATTTTCGACTTCTTCTCAAGAACCACTGGGCCAATTTTGACCAAACTTGGTACAAAGCATCCTTGGGTGAAGGGGAATTTAAATTGTTAAAATGAAGGGACATATTCCCTCGCAAGGGGAGATAATCAAGAAAAGACAAAAATAGGGTTGGGTCATTAAAAAATCTTCTTCTCAAGAACCACTGGGCCAGTAAAGCTGAAACTTATGTGGAAGCATCCTTGGGTAATGTAGATTCTAAATTGTTCAAATCATGACCCCCGGGGGTAGGGCTGGGCCACAATGGGGAATCAATGTTTTACATTGAAATATATAGGAAAATTTTTGAAAATCTTCTTCTCAAGAACCACTGAGCCAGAAAAGTTGAAACTTATGTGGAAGCATCCTGGGGTAGTGTAGATTCTAAATTGTTCAAATCATGACCCCCAAGGGTAGGGCGGGGCCACAATGGGGAATCAATGTTTTACATAGAAATATATAGGAAAAATCTTTGAGAATCTTCTTCTCAAGAACCACTGGGCCAGAAAAGCTGAAACTTATTTGGAAGCATCCTGGGGTAGTGTAGATTCTAAATTGTTCAAATCATGACCCCTGGGGGTTGGGCGGGGCCACAATGGGGAATCAATGTTTTACATAGAAATATATAGAAAAATCTTTGAAAATCTTCTTCTCAAGAACCACTGGGCCAGAAAAGCTGAAACTTATGTGGAAGCATCCTGGGGTAGTGTAGATTCTAAATTGTTCAAATCATGACCCCCAGGGGTAGGACGGGGCCACAATTGGGAATCAGTGTTTTACATAGAAATATATAGGAAAAATCTTTGAAAATCTTCTTCTCCAGAACCACTGGGTCAAAAAAGCTGAAACTTATGTGGAAGCATTCTAGGGTAGTGAAGATTCTTAATTGTTCAAATCATGACCCCCGGGGGTAGGGCGGGGCCACAATGGGGAATCAAAGTTTTACATTGAAATATATAGGAAAAATCTTTGAAAATCTTCTTCTCAAGAACCACTGAGCCAGAGAAGCTGAAACTTATTTGAAAGCATCCTGGGGTAGTGTAGATTTTAAATTGTTCAAATCATGACCCCTGGGGGTTGGGCAGGGCCACAATGGGGAATCAATGTTTTACATAGAAATATATAGAAAAAAAATCTGAAAATCAAAGCTGAAACTTATTTGGAAGCATACTGTGGTAGTGTAGAATTCAAATTGATTAAATTATGATCAGTGGGTAGGGTGAGGTTGTAATAAATTATGTATTACAAGGGGAAATCTGGTAAAGAACAGAATGGCCAAAGCTTCTCAGGTGAGCGATGTGGCCCATGGGCCTCTTGTTTGATTAGCAATGTACAGTATTTTCACCAAAATTCCAGTATTTTGAAGACTGCTGTACAGTATTTGGGTCTAGAAATTATCACATGTATGCTATTGCCTCAGTTTCTCTTGTCTGCTTGTAGGTCACATTTGGAAGTTGGAGTAATTTCTGGATCTTCTTCTTATTACTTTTCATAAATGGAACAGCACAGGTGGGTGTTAACTTAATTAATGGAACAGCACAGGTAGGTGTTATCTTAATTAATGGAACAGCACAGGTGGGTGTTAATTAATGGAACAGCACAGGTAGGTGTTATCTTAATTAATGGAACAGCACAGGTGGGTGTTATCTTGATTAATGGAACAGCACAGGTGGGTGTTATCTTAATGAATGGAACAGCACAGGTTAGTGTTATTTTTATTAATGGAACAGCACAGGTTAGTGTTATTTTTATTAATGGAACAGCACGGGTTAGTGTCTTCTTAATTAATGGAAAGCACAGGTGAGTGTTATCTTTATTAATGGAACAGTGCAGAACACAGTTATGTGTTATTTATCTTAATAAATAGAACAACACAAGTAGTTATTAGTCTGGTAGTCATGTTAAGTTGTCATCAGTTCATTTCATTGATAAAAAGCATTCAGGCTAGTTTATAATGAATTGCAGAACGTACAGTCAAATTTCAAAAGGGGGGAACTGTATGAATACTCTACATGTATTTATTGTTTATCTGACAGTACGTAATTAAAAGTGAATGTTTTAACAAAATACTGATTTATAATAAGTGCAGCACATTTGTCTATAGGCCCAGTAAGCTATCTGCATTCAGTGCCTTTGTTTTGTAGGCCCAGTGCTGGCCTAACTGTATTAAATGCCTGGGATCCTGGTATGCAGATGAAGTCAGAAATAGCATGTTCGGAATGTTTGGGACATGTGCCTTTGCGGGGGGCATCATGGGAACTTCTCTGGCTGTAAGTCGTCCAATCAGAATAATGAGATTACGCCTCCGCAATACATGTACTGGATAATGAAAATATTATTCAGTGTCCTAATGCTATAGACATTCTTCTTTGTATTGAATTAACTTGATAAAGCACTTTCAGAATCAGCATTTCTATGACCTTTTGATTACAATCTCAGAAATCAAGTGAGAAAAGTGAAAGAGGTGTATTTCCCTTACAGATACTGTTTTATTTATATAACTCCATGTCCAATTTTGATTTTAGATTTATCTACAGAAACTGTTTTATTTATACAGGCTTTTTTAACTCCATGTCCGGTTTTGATTTTAGGTTTATCTACAGACTTCCTACTCTTGGAGAAGTGCATTTTTTCTTCCTTCTGTGATAGTGGTGAGTACCAGACAGGAACAAAAAGTTTTTAGTGTGGAAAGATTTGTTTGGGTCGTACAAGAATTTGCAGGTGCCCTGTAGTAATCACTGTCTGTCCATCTCTCTGTTTGGAAATGTATTATATTTTGCTTGTAGTGTATATTTGATGGAAATTCAATTTTCAACAAGTTATTGTAGATTTCATTTAGCGCTGTCTGAATTTGCTAGCAATGTACTTGAATTAGCAGACTCTGCTCTTAGCAAAATCACTAAATAGAATACACCACTAAATGTAATACGTCAACAGTATATCAACCAATCAAATCATCACCTGTAAAATCTTTGTATATTCATTGAAGCGAATAAGTCTAAAGTAGTTTTGAATTTAACCCCTGACGTGACCTTCTATGGGATATCAATTTTAATTTGATTTATATTAAGATTTAATACATTGTTTCTGAAGGCAGTAAGACATTTTGAGACCAAATTTAGTACCATCTGTTTGTCGTCCAGTTAGGAGCTAGGTTAGGGGGTTGGATTCCATTTTTGTCAGCCTGAGGATAATGAATTGGTAGAAAAAGACAACCTTTCATAAATTCATACTTTAAGTAAAGCTGTAGTAATTCCTTGAGGATTAATTATATTGCCCACTACAAAAAATCCAGAGCCTAATCTTTTTTTTTATTATTTGGTCAGACAGTTTTCTAGTTTCTTTGTAATTTAATTCTTTGTTATTTTCATATTTCTTTACTTGGCTTTGAATTATTTCTCCGCTGTTTCAGGCAACACTTGGTGTGCTGGTCTTCCTATTCTTCAGCACCCCAGAAGAACAAAGCATAGAAATACCGGGAAAAAGTAAGTAAGAAAAGCATAGAAATACCGGGGAAAAGTAAGTAAGAAAAGCATAGAAATACCGGGGAAAAGTAAGTAAGAAAAGCATAGAAATACCGGGGAAAAATAAGTAAGAAAAGCATAGAAATACCGGGGAAAAGTAAGTAAGAAAAGCATAGAAATACCGGGGAAAAGTAAGTAAGAAAAGCATAGAAATACCGGGGAAAAGTAAGTAAGAAAAGCATAGAAATACCGGGGAAAAGTAAGTAAGAAAAGCATAGAAAACCCGGGGAAAAGTAAGTAAGAAAAGCATAGAAATCCCGGGAAAAAGTAAGTAAGAAAAGCATAGAAATACCGGGGAAAAGTAAGTAAGAAAAGCATAGAAATACCGGGGAAAAGTAAGTAAAAAAAGTACAGAAATTCCAGGAAAATATAAGTCAAGAGTGAAGTTAAGCATTCAGGGACAAGGGAAAACAGAATTGTACATTCAACGACGTTTATAAATCATATTTAGATATCCCATGCAAACATGCATTTTAAGAAATTGTTTACATTACAGCACAGAGTTCCACATCATCAAAATCTACAGGAAGCACCTCATGGCTACAGATGTGGAAAATCCCGTAAGATTTCTGTTTACTTTGTGACTATTCTTATTATAATGAATATGACATACTGTAAACAGGGTATTTTTTGCCCCATGTTATTTTCACCCTTTCACTCTTGCAAACAAATTTTCCCCGTTTTAAATTTGCTCAGTCAAAGTTTTGTTTAAGTAATTATACAGGATTCTTTTAATTTGCATTGTTATAAATTCACCCAAATGAAATTGGGGTGAATTGAAAGGGGCTAAAATAAAATGGGGGTGAAAAATTTCCCTGTAAACAATATTTCTTTTGAATAAATATATCAGTTTTTATTCCATGCTACTTTAATACAAGTTTCTGAATGCAGAATATACATGATTCAGAAGTAAAGTTGGTACTTTTGTAGTTATTGATTTATATAGAGACATTTTTGTTTTTTGTTGATAGGATGTTACCAGAGGTCGCTGTAGCTGTCTTTTGTTTAAAAGTTGTGAGATACTGCATGTATATGTGGTTACCAATGTATCTACTGAATGCTGTAAGTATCAGACAGACAGAGACAGACAGACAGACAGAGGCAAACAGCTAGACAGACAGAGACAAACAGCTGGACAGACAGAGATAGACAGACAGACAGACAGAGGCAAACAGCTAGACAGACAGAGACAGACAGACAGACAGACAGAGGCAAACAGCTAGACAGACAGAGACAGACAGTGAGATACTGCATGTATATGTGGTTACCAATGTATCAAACTGGATGTGTTTGTCTCTTTCTTAGCATGGACCAGAAAAGGGATGGAGGGTATTGCCTATTGCGTGGTTACAAATTTACATGTATAACTTAATGCTTTGATAATTAGTAGGGAAGAGTAGGGAACTATGGAGTAATATGATTATGTAGATTATGACTACAATGTATTACTGTGAATGAGAAGGAAAGGATATCAACACAGAATTATTTATTTATATTACCCAAACAAAATCTAAAGTTAACATGGAAGATTTGTTTTTTTAGGTGTGTTAACCTTGAAATGTATAATTTTTTCTTTTATATGATTTATCTTTGATCTAAATCTTGCACGTTGAAATGATTTTTCAGTTAAAGTACACCAAAGCCCAGGCTGGTATGTTTTCTACAACATTTGAGGTGGGTGGAGTGTTAGGCAGTGCTGTTATAGGAATTGTCATAGACAGGTAATCTTTTCTACACCACATTGGAGGGGTGTTTTATAATTAGAGGGGTGCAAGGAACTTGACACAAAAAGTTTCTCAGGTTTTAAAATTAATGATGACTATTTTATCTGATTTTTTAAGGGTCAATCATTTTTAATTACAGGTATTTTAAGGGTCGGTCTCTAGCGGGTACCGGTTATTCCGTGGCTTTATCGGCTGTCTCCCTTCTAGCATTTTATCTGACCAGTACCTGGGGAATTGTCTTTAACACTGTGTTCATGTTTCTAGCTGGAGTATTCAACTGTGGTCCTGATAGCATCTTAGGTAATTATGTATCCAATATTTACAGTGTATGGTGATATATTTGTGAATTTTGTGCATGTTGATCTGACACTGCAATTGTTTTGTAGGTGGATCTACATATACATTACATTTGTTTTGTGGGTGTTTTTGTAGGTGGATCTTACATTGTATTGATTTGTGTAGGTGGATCTTACATTGTTATTGTTTTTGTAGGTGGATCTTACATTGTATAATTGTTTTGTAGGTGGATCTTACATGAGGATTGTTTTGTAGGTGATCTACATTGTGATTGTTTTGTAGGTGGATCTTACATTGTGATTGTTTTGTAGGTGGATCTTAATTGTTTTGTAATACATCCTACATTGTGATTGTTTTGTAGTTAGATCCTACATTGTGATTGTTTTTGTAGTTACATCCTACATTGTGATTGTTTTGTAGTTAGATCCTACATTGTGATTGTTTTTGTAGTTACATCCTACATTGTGATTGTTTTGTAGGTTCTTACTACATTGTTTTGTATTGATTTTTGTAGTTAGGTGGATCTTACATTGTGATTGTTTTGTGTTAGTGGATGTTTTTGTATATCCTACATTGTGATTGTTTTGCAGGTGGATCTTACATTGTTATCATTTTGTAGGTGGATCCATCCCAAATGAACTGGGAGAGATGGATGGAAGAAATGCAGCTGCTGCTGTTGGTCTTGTCAATGGTGTACATTTCAAAAAGTGTTTTAATCAATGAAATGGAGAGTGTATATACCACAATTTTTTTTATTTTTCTAAATTGAAGAGAGGGAGGGGAGTGTGAAAAAGGGCTCTTAAACCAGAGTCCATCTTTAAATGATTATGTTTTTAAGCAACAGCAACAAATATTTACATTTGCAAATGTTCTCCTTTATATAATACTACATAAATCAATGGTTAACTATATATGTTGATGAGTGTCTATTTATATATAGTGCTATTGTGTTTTCATGTGTGAAAACCAAATTTCAAATACAGGTGTTTAAAAATATCACATTTATATATATTGACAAGTGCAAGCGCTTAAATTTATTTGCACCAATGTATTCATGAGATTTCAGGGGAATGGACAGATTTTTTTAAGTATTGTGACCTTTGAAGTAATTAGAAGCATACATATAATGTTAACCTCTCCTCTATTTTAAGGTTTTGGCAGTGTGGGGACATTTTTGGAGGGTCCCATTATTGGGGTGATATCAGCAAACTACGGCTTTAATGTTCTCAACTTATGATCGGAATTTTCAGGTGTCGGCGCCCTGGCCGTCCTAGTTGCTCTGATACTTTATAACAGAAAAATGGGAAAATACCAGATGCTTACCATTAAAAATGGAAGACATTGCATAATAAATAGGAACCAATTCATAATGCTGCTGTTTTGTGCCAATTTCTAGGAAAAGAAGGTGGCTGTTCTTACGTTATATGCAAAAATTCTTCCTCAGGGTATTTTATTAGTCAATGATGTTGAATACTGTTCGTTGTCTTATTCTTCCCTTATGAGGTTTGTATGTACATGAAGACTTAATTGATGATATAAGCAACAGCAGAATATGGTCAGGTGATCGCCTTATTATTCAAAGAAGATAGTTTGATGAAAGGACAAGTTTTGCAATAACACAGAAGTCCTTTGTTAATCATGAGGGATTGTATCTATTTATTTTTTGTTGCTGTGACTAGTACAATGTATTAAGACATTTACTGATGTTTTATGTATAATGTGGTAAATTATAGAACATATAGATAGAAGAAAATGTGTATTAGACAAAAGCAAATAAGTCCCAGTAAGGTTTTTTTGATTGGTTTATGTATCTCAGCTTTTTGTATATTATTTAATGTAAAAAACAGTGTAATACTAGGATATTTTTTCCTTTTAAGGGTAGTGTAACAAAAGATATTTTGTTTGTGATTTGTATCTGATATGCAATAATTTTTTAGTTAAATTTACTATTTTAGTGTATAAATTATGTTTAACAAGCATTATATGTTTGTTGAAATATCTGTGTGCAAATTTTGCAGTTCGTGTGTATCTACTCTGCGTGTGCAAAATGTCCACATATTTAATGAATGATATTTAAATAAAGATATTCAAGCTTGAGAGATTTTTTTGATGTTGTTACAATGAAAGTGCATTAGCTTTTTGAACATTTGCTTAAAAATATAATTTTAATTATATGCTTTTTATTTTTCATAAAAAAAGATTATTTTAGACAATTAACAAAAAACAGTTATTATAAAATGTAACTAGCTTATTTGCCCATTTGAGTGATGGCTGAACTGTGCTTATCTGGTCAAAATTTTCCATTGATAGACATCGCCAAACTTTTTTTGATAATTTCATTTGCAAAAGCACTTGGTTTTCAAGTAAATTTACCAATTGAAGTGCATTTAAGTTTGTTCAAATATGGACACCTTCTTTCCAGGGGGGATAATTAGTGAAAATTAATTCTTTAACATCTTCAGCTGAGCCAAAAAAGAAAAATTTGAAAAATTGTAGAATAAAAATGTTGCGGATGAACGGGGGACAATCGGCCATCAAATTTACATAGAAATACGTAGTGACAGAAAATAATCAGGTAGTTTGATTCAAGTTTGTTTAAATCTTGACCCTTCATAGGGATATGGGATATGGCCAGAATGGGTTGCAAAGTTGTACATGAAAATAGATTTTTTTTATGAACTTGAAAATGATAATGATTGTATTAGCATAAAGGCATTCTTGGGTTGCATTGCACAATAAAGATTTAATGTTAAAGATGTCAATAACCCACAGGGGCAACAAAAGATGAAAACTTTTTCTAGCAAATGATAAGTCAAAGAACAAGAGGCCCATGGGCCACATTCACCTGAGCACTGTGGCTAGGAAAAAGCAGAAATGTATACTTGAAAAGCTTAAATTAGTCCCAAGACCAATCATGGCTTTGCTATTCTTGAGTTTAGATCTTTAGAGAATTTTCCTATATATTTCTATGTAAAACTTTGGTCAGGCCATTTTGCCCTGCCCTACCCCGGGGGGTCATGATTTACAAACTTTATTAATTACCTGAGGATGCTTCCATATAAATATGATCAATTTGTGTGTTTGCTATTTTTGAGAAGAAGATTTTTAAAGAAGTTTCATTTATATTTCTATGTAAAATTTTTGGCCAAGCCCTGTTGGTCATGATTTGAACAAACTTGAATTACACTATGTGCTTCCATTTATGATCAATTATGGTATTTGTCTTTCTTGAGAAGAAGATTTTTAAAGAATTATACACATATTAAAACTTTGGTCGGCCATTTTGGCCCCACCCACCCCTGGGGGTCATGAGTTACAAATTTAAATTAACTACCTGAGCATGCTTATAAATTGATGAATTTGGCTTTGTCATTCTTGAGAAGAAGATTTTTAAAGATTTTTCCTATATATTTCTATGTAAAATTTTGGTCGGCCATTTTGGCCCCGCCCTACCCCGGGGGGTCATGATTTGAACAAACTTGAGACTACACTACCTGATTGCTTCCATATGAATATGATGAATTACATTTTGTCATTCTTGAGAAGAAGATTTTTAAAGAATTTTCCTATACATTTCTATGTAAAACTTTGGTAATTTGGCCCCGCCCTAGGGGTCATGATTTGAACAAACTTGAATTACATTACCTGAGCATGCTTCCATATATATATATGATATTTGAAATAAAGTCAATGTCTCCCCGCAAGACGCTTTAATCGTCGATGCACCCGATTTCTGGCCAGAGGGCATCAGCTGCAGAAAATGGCACAGTTTTCGCGATTGGAGCAAAATCTGTGAGGAGCGGACATCCGAGTTTGGGACTCCCAATACAACAATGAAACAAAATAAAATGACACTATTATTATATTGTTAACAGCATATATTGTGTTGTTGTTATTGTTCTCATTATCATTTCCAATGTTTAAAATATTAACTTGTAATGTCAGGGGTATTATTTCGTCTACCTTACCAGTCTGCGCTGTACTAGACAAAATCAATGTGATGTTGCCATAATATGTGAACATAAACTTAACAATTATTCCGCAACTTACCTTGATAGTATTCATACAAACTACTTTAGTGTTGTTAAACTTCATAGTGATAAACAACTGCATGCTTTATATCTCCATTTGGCGGTGGGGGAATATATCTTAATCAAAAATATGCTATATAAACATAATACAGGATATTCAAATATCTTGTATATATATATATATAAATATATTTATATTTTTGGTGTTTATCTGCCATATATAGCGACATTAATCATTATATATACATTGTAGACATTATGTACGGTATATACGAGTATTATTCTCAGTATGGCGATGTTATTTTTGCTGGTGATTTCAACGCAAGTTTACTTCGTGAATTACACACAAATGATGCAAAATCATCTATTTTTTATATAACTTATAGATCATATATATATTTTTATATATATATTCAGGGCGAATTGTTACTTTATACCAATATAATATATGTTAGATTACATTCTTTTTAATCATGATGCCACTGTAAGTCATTACGAGATTCTTAAAGAAGGATCTTTATCATTAACATCCGATCATTTACCTCTAGTGTGCACCCTTCATTTTCAAACTAAACGAATTATCTTGCAAGACTCTTCCAGTAAACTCCTAGCGTGGCATAAAGCTAGCACAGAGGCTATAACGGAATACAAACTGTGCACCGACGCTGAACTGCAAAAACTGACTAATATTGACATTCACTCTGCTGATGATATTGAACAGTTCAATCAAGCAGTGATAGAAATATTATCATCTATCTCTACTCGTTGTATTCCTACATCCAAGTTTAACCCACATACTAAACCCGGGTGGACGAAGGCTGTCAAAGAATTTCATGTGACAGAGCGAGCTAAGTTTGGATCCAAGATAGACCCAGAGGTATGCAGTTCGACTCATACCACGAATATAAGCGAGCTAAACGTGCTTTCAGAAATGCCCATGATAAGGAATACGACATTTCCCTCCAGTCAAATATCGCGAAATAGATGAAGCAATCAACACTGATTCAGCTGAACTTGACATGCGTCTATTCTGGAAACTAGTCAAGCAAAGGCGCCCACGATCTTCCAGATTTTTTCCTGAGATCCGTGAAGCTTCCGGGGAAATCCGCTCGGAGCCATACGAGATAGCAAATGCCTTCGCTGATTTCTTTGAAAATATCTATAAAAACAGCGAGAACAAAAAGTTCGATGATCAGTTTAAAGACACAGTAATCTCAGAATACATGCGTGTCAAGGAAGAGTGCGACTTCTCCGATAACTCCACTTTAATCTCGCATAGTGACGTCATTACGGCCATATCCTCTCTCAAACGCAGGAAAGCACCTGGTGTCGACTATATTACCAATGAACACGTTCTTCATTCCGGCACCTCCATAGTTGCTTGTCTCAGCAAACTGTACAACGCTGTAATTAGTGTCGGTTGTGTACCCTTACAGTGGAAACGCGGATTAATCGCTCCCATATATAAAGGAGGTTCCAAACCGAAACACTCATGTAACAGCTACCACCCAGTTGCCCTGTTGCCTTGTCTTTTCAAAATATTCGAAAAAATCATCTCTGTCAAAATATCTTCCTTGGAACTGTCTCAACCTTTTTCCAAATACAAAACAGCAAGGTTTTCAGAAAGGATTAGGATGTCTTACAGCATCATTTAATCTACATGAAACTCTGTATCACAATCTTGAGATGGGAAGTAATGTCTACATAAGTTTTTTAGATACAAGTAAAGCGTTTGATACTGTTTGTAGGCAAGGTTTGATGTTCAAATTACATAAATTAGGCATCTCAGGTCAAATCTGGAAAATCACCGACGACTGTCATATCAACACTGAAAGCGCTGTAATTGTTAATCAAACTATGTCTCTTTGGTTCCCCGTACAACAAGGTGTCAGACAAGGAGATGTTCTTTCAACTTTTCTCTATCTTGTTTTCATTAACGACTTGTTAAATGAACTACAACCCAAGAACTCAAACCACACTAGTGCTGTTATATTATACCAATTATATATATATCGCAGATATATATTATCTCTATATATATATATATGATACATATATATATATATATATATTTGAATATATAGTATAATTCCGTGCTAAAGGCCAAAGTCATCCTGCAGAAAAAGACATTAACTTAGGAGATTTTTAACAATATATACGGAAACGTCTATGTAACATCTAGGAATTCCTATTAGCAACAATACTA